TTACCCGGGCACTATGGCCGTGCAATTTGATGCCCTACTAAGGCAGCGCTGCGCTGTGTGTCGTTCCCACACGCTTGTGCCCATAGTTGACCTCAATCGTGACTCATGCAAGCGGCGACCTCGACGACGACGCGTGGGTGGTACATCGTGGAGAGAAGGACTCCTATGCCCATGTTCGTGTATCAGGTCAGTGGGTCATTAAAGCACTACAGCACAACAAATTGAGTAATGTTGGACCTTCGCCAAGAGTACGCGAGTGCACTGTCCTGGGACCTCGTCGGTTTTGGCGTGACAACCCTGGCAAGTCAAGGCACATGGTTTGCGCTATTTACATCGGGGCGTATGACATATATCATTGGCATGTTGAGGTGAGTCTGCAGTTTTGATCTGGCAGTCAGACACATTATCGACTAAATTTGCACGTTACGTATGACGCGAAGAACATGCGTTGGACGCGTGGACGAGGCGAGGACCGGGCTAGTGAACTGAGAGAACAAAATAAGGATTTTGATGAGTAGTAGGCTAGTATATTGAATGAAATGGGGGATGTGTATGCATGTGGATCAACAATTTTGTATATGTATCGGTATTCGGATATCGTGAGGAAGGAAAGTAATCGAATACGGGGGAACACGCATGGAAGTGACGTCAATACGTGCCTTATTAACTAATATGGACGATGACATCACAAGGAAATTTACAGGTTTGTTGTTCCGATTCTCCGGACTTGCCTAAACTTGATCCCATTTTCCGCGGTGTCAATTCGACTTGTGCAATCTCGCGTCTTCCTCGAGCTCTCTTCCGTCCCGGTCTCTTCTTGTTCTTTTCGGCTTCTCTCCATCTTTCTTGTCCTTTCTTGTAATCCTTCGCGTTCTCTTCCGGTACCTACCCTGACTTTTGGCTGACACCTCAATCCTCCGGGCTACTGCTGCTGCTGCTTAATAGAAAATTCACCGTGAATTTACCTTTCACCACGGTGCAAACTCTCATCTGCAAGCAGTTCTTCAGTAATGCGTTTGTATTATTTTGTAATGAACTTGTGTGCTAAACTAACCAAGATTGACTTGCTGCATTGTGGCCTTGCGTCATTTCTTAATTCGCTCTTTTACTGGGCAGCCCGTTGTCCTCGTGTCCCCCTCACTTCATTCCCCGCGGTCCTTCCTCAAGGGGTCTTATAGAAAGGCCTATTCCAAAGTCCGTCCCCATCATTTTTCTATTTCCTCAATGTATCTTAAGCCAACATGGGTAATGTAGTGTCTCTTGTCGATATTCAACACAGCAACCCTGCCTCAGAGGAACCTGTACCAGTAGAACCTGTTTTGGAGGCTTATCAACGTCCTTCGGCTCCTGCAAGGACAACCATTCCTCTTTTTCATATACATCTGACTTATCTACAGGTGCTTGGCGCCTTTGCGTTACCACTCATTATTTCCCCTTCTCCGGGTGAGAATTCTCCTGATTCGCCTCCACTATCGCCCACGCTTTCCTTCCATACCGCTCCTTCCACACCTGTTACCTCTCCGCAAGGTGAAGATCCACCACCAGATCCTCCGCCTGTTCCTATCTTTGGTAACTCCAGACCGCCATCACCACCACTCATCAATATTCCATCAATCGCGTCTGTTGAAATCGAAACAATACCACCACCCGAGGCTCTTTCATCGCCTGACTTTGCACTAGATTTCACCCTCGATGATGAGGGTTTAAGTACCCTTGAAAAGATATACCTTTTTTCTCGTAGTAGATCAGCGCATCACAGGTAGGCTTTGGGTAGTAGTAGTGCTTATACACTGCTGAGAACAAAGTATTGTGCACAGGGTATTTATTTCACATGCTCTACCAGCATTCCTAGCGCAGGTATCGCCTATAGAGGCTGTCGAGTATGTCCTACCGCTGCTTCCGAGTTTGTCTGTCGATGAAGGTGTGTTCGCCGTATAGTTCCGGGGTTCTCCGGCTTGAATGATATTTCTAGATGAGGCAGTGAAGGAGGCTCTGTCAGCGGAACTTGTTTCCATCATGTGGTGGTTTTTAACGGTCGGTTTACCTCATTATCAATCTTGACCCTGTGACATTCAATTTCATTGCACATGTAGCATTGTCACTTGGTCGAAGAGCCGGGTGGCCCGTCTAATGCCGATTATTCTCCTCAGTCTCAATCTGACGATCAGGTCACGTTAATCTCAGTCCAGGCGTTCACTCCTATTCTAGCAACGCTCCTCCTGAGCTCAAATGGGGTTGTTAGTGGCTCTGCGAGATCTGCCGTTGTTGAATTGTTGGCAAGAATACATAGGGCTGATGATCTCGGAGACCAGCACGCTGATGACCTATCTTACGGATTATTCGGGAGATACGAAAGGACCCTGTTCGAAGAAGAGGTCATTCAGCAACTTGTGATAGGCATGGGACGCCTTGAACCAAGTGAAGACGAAACAGATGTGGACGAAGTGTGGTATACACCCGCGGTAGAGGTTCTTCAACCAGATCCTTCTTTACAAAGCAACAATTCTGTCAATCCGTATTTTCCAAGCACGCACACACCCTTGTCTTCAGCGACGCACAGCTCAGCGACGGCATCGACTCTTTCTAACCTTCCTAGTCCACCGGTTGGTGTACCCCCGCCCTATCCTGAAGCCGAAGTCATTAGAGTGGACACATCACCTATGACTATAATATCTCTTCAGCTAGAGGATACTGGTCAACACAGTCCGATGCAGCCCACTGAGGGATCCTGGGAGCGCGACTCGATGCCCGCTACGACCCACACTGGATCTGCACATTCAGATCCTGGGTTGGACGGGCATGAAGGCGGACAAGACATGGATCTTGGCGAGCAAGCTGCTGTTGGTCGACTATCAAGCATGAGTCTCATTGCTGCCGTAGTTGCTGGGGGTACGTATTATATAAACTTCATCATATAACTCTGTCGACAATTCTTTTCATGCAGGCACGCCGAGGGTCGATACTCAACGTGCTTTCGTGAGAGAAGTTGAACGAGTCGGAAGAGATCCTATTCACTGGGTCAGAAGAGAGGCGTCATTTGCGTTGGGTGCTCTTGCAAAAGTCGTTCCCGATGAGCTTATCATTGGCTCGATCGTGAGTACGTTGCACTCAAACTTACTATGTTCTTACTACCGGTTCCCGTAGCTTCCGTTGTTTGAATCTCTACGTGCCGATCCCGCATGGCACGTGAGGCACTCCTCCCTTTTTGCTTTGCCTGCACTTTTGTCACGTTTGCCATCAGGCTTGCGCCGATTAGTTGCTGTCTCTACCATCATTCCTCTGTCGCGAGACGAATCTGCTCCAGTCCGCACTGGGGTCCTGGAGGCTCTAGGGGAAGTCGTATACACCTTCTATGACGATGACCGCGGACCACCCGATGATCTTCTACGACTGTTCCTTGGCATCGACAATAACTCCTCACAACGAGAACGTTATGCTCACCCTACTCGACGATCGCCATTACAGGTACTGTCTGGTGCGTATTGATGATTCGTCGATCATGTGTGATGATTTACCAATACTTTTCTTGTTCGTGCAGCGAATGCTCCGGTGTTGATAATTGATGACGACCCGGGTCGTCCGCTTGCGTGTGCATTTAACTTTCCTGCAGTAGCAGTTACCCTTGGCAAAGCGCGATGGGGAGAGCTACGGGGACTATACCGCACACTCGCGCAGGACCGCTCACCTAAAGTCCGGCGGACATTAGCTGCTAGTCTGGGTGAATTAGCCAAGATCATCGGACCAGACAATGCTCAACGAGATATGATGAGCCTGTGGTGGGATGCAATGCGATCTGATGACGATTATGAGATTAAATTCAAAGCAATTGAGGCTGTCCCTCTCTTCGTCGAGGCTTTGGGCGAAGGAAGGGCGAGGAATGAGGTGATTGCTGGTTTGCTCAATGTATGGGAGGAAGGCCGGTTGAGCAATTGGAGAGCACGTGAAGGCGTCATCAAGATTATCGCTGACCTCGCTGGCGGACCTGAACGACCTGATAACATACGTGCACTGTTAAAAAAAGCCCTTGAAGACGACTTTGGTGCAGTGAGGGAGACTGCTATCTCTGTGGTGCGTGGAGACTTGACAAACAGTGGTTCTGATTAACAAGGACTTCGTCATTCTATGAAGATCTGTCGAATAGCGCTGCACGACGTCTGGAGAGCTACGCTCAATTTGGTCAACGAAGATATACTTTCGCTAGCTAACTCTCCAATTTTTCGAAGACGAATGACGTAGGTGTATCCTCTACTTCATTCAGCCTTTTACATTGTTCTACAGGTTTGTTGCATGTCAGCAGGCTTTAGTATCCTCAGCAGGTGGGCTATCAATCTTAGTGGATGATGCAAGATGGCACACTCTCGAGCGGTTAAGCAATGATAGCATAGTGGGCGTTCGCATTGGCGTTGCTCGTTTATCTGCGTCGATACTTGGTATGTTTTTGATTTTACACCTTGCACCGCATTTCTCACTCTGCACTAGAAAACGCTTTGCGCGTCACACCCGTAGTGCCCCGGCGAATCTTTGACATGATAGATCATCTGCAGCAGGACTCTTCTGCAGAAGTCCGATCTTATGTTCCTAGCACTAGTATGGCAGACCTTCAGCAAGGCCGGACAATATTCCCCACCCACTCGGATAGTTTCTTGACCTTTTCCCGCCCACCCCCATTGTCCTCATAGAAGCAAAATCAAGAAGCCCGTCTTCCCAATGGCCGCTGGTCGAATGTTCGGCTGGATCTCTGTCGCTCTTGACACCTTTCCTCGAAGTCGCCATCGGTGTATAATAACTTTGTTCTGGACTTCCATCTGTCTGACTTCATTTACCTTGTTATTACTCAATCACCCATTTGTATTCTAAAGTTCATCTGTTATAAAAGTCAAACGCATTTTCCTAGATCATGATAGTAAGTATTGTGGGGAAGCGTATTTGTGAATGTTTGAACAGCGGTGCCGCGGGCTTTGTAAATCGGGCATGGGAGCTGATCATGAGTTAACGCAAGACGGCATTCTTACACAAAGCTGGATCTTTGTGAATCAGTTTCCCTTGCTCGTTTCATCTTCCGCCGTGCGGTTTGATCTCGCATATGCCCTCCTAAAATCCTATTGATATCAAAAATGAAGTCTACTATGCTTTTCGCTCGTTATGTTCTGTTCGGTATGCCTTGGTTCTCTCACCTTTGGGCGGTTATCACATATCCTTCGCTTGATAGGTCTTTTCGTCGTCTGTAATGCCATCATATGCAGCGTTGCTGTATGGAATCACAGCCTCGTCCAAGCTACAGGAGGCCAGACTGGTACGTAGTCATTCATATGGGTCATCACATCACTCTAAGCTCCGTCCGTCCCCAGTGCAAGTCGATGTCTATCTCATATTCTTGGGCGCTTTTAGCCTTACTTTTATCTTTCCAATGCAAGTATCTTGTGTCTGTCTTTCCCAGATACTGACATCTTCCCTAGTATTTTTGCCGACTTACTATGTACCGATCCACTCTCTGCGCGAGTGTGGTTCGAGTGCGCATGGGTGACGATCATCTGGCTCATGCAATTAGGTGCGCTCCTTCGTGCTTATCGGGATATATGTCTCACTTTTACTTCAGCTGGTGCGGCCGCTGTGACCGCAATTGCGCCGCATATTCAATGCTCCGCCCAAGGTTGAATCCATCATCTTTCTACTGAGCAATGTGCTAATTACGCATCCAGCTACCGAAGTGAATAACAATTCCTGTTTTTCGACCAATGTTCTTGTAGCTTTTACTTGGATCTGTACTATCATATGTATGTGTCCCAGATTTTCTCATCTAACCTTGCTAATTAGCTCACTGTACTAGTGCTTCTTTATCTGTCTCTTCTATTCGTGACCGCGGTTACGACGCAATGGACCGATCCAGGCGTATGGCATCACAATGTTCGTTATCTCCGCATGGTGTCCACTCGGCAATGCCTGCCTAGTGCCCAGAACTCACCGATAACTCCTCGTTTCGTCAAAGGGCGTGGAACATCGGAAGCCCATAAACCTCGCTCGCTTCGCCCAGTTGCTCCGAATCCGGTCTATGGATATCGTGCTGGACTTGGTCCTGAGTACGAGATTGAACATTATCGCCCACATGAGACACAACATAATCCCGTGGATTCCGCCTTGTCATTGCGTGAAACGATGCCTGCCCACTCTGTATCATATCCTTCCCCTGCTCGTGTTTACTCGCAAAGAATTCGTGGTTTGATTCCTCCAGAGATGGATCTTCCACCGTTACCTTCTCGACTTCATACGGCCATCACCTATTCAAAGTCGGTCCAATCATCAATATCGGCGCATGAGGCGCGAGCATCGTCCCCATCCCCATCACATCCATATTCGTTGCCGTTTGACTGGCCGCGAGCAAACTCTACGGAACAACCTTTCAGGACAAAGAGGAAACCGCCACCTAGCACCTCGCACTCGGTCCAGTCATCAATATCGGCGCATGAGGCGCGAGCATCGTCCCCATCTCCATCACATCCATTTTCGTCACCGTTTGACCGGCCGCGAGCAAATGCTATGGAACAACCTTTCAGGACAAAGAGGAAACCACCACCCAGCACCTCGCAGGAGGCGCGAACATCGCCCTCTCCATCGCCCCCATCCTCATCACCATTTGATTGGCCACGAGCGAATGTGATGGAGCAACCAATTAAGACAAAGAGAAAGCCGCCACCCAGCGCTTTCGAGTTTCCGAAACGAAGCGCTCAGGCTCCGTCGGAGCTCTTTTCTGATGCTCCTCCTGATTCATTGACACATCCCCGCACTAGACGGCCTTCTGGTCCTCGCGTACGGCCACCATCAGCTGACGAGACACAGCACCCTAATCCTCATTTGGCTCGCCCCGCGTATTGATATATATACGATGGGAGCTGACAGCGAACTTTGAAGTTGAGTTAGGAAGTCGAGTATATCTATATGATACTTGCTAGAACACGATAGAACACTTGAGTTTTGTGAGCTGTAAAGGGTTGACCCAGAGAGGAAATTGAATATTGTTTGTCGCGTCTGTCATCATCGCAAGTTTACAACACACCAGTAGATCATGGAGAATCCTCACGCCGAACGACAAGCAGTTTTACTAGAGCGTATTCTCAAGAACGCTGTGAGTCTATCTATATCCGATATTAATCGACCATGCTCATATCACTACTAACAGTCAGCGTGCACGGAGATGATCCTCGAGCTGAATCACTGTGTGGAGGTGTGTTTTGTTGCGACTCAAATGCCCAGTGTCATCAAGAGTCAATTGCAGGAAATACTTCGGGCCAATGCTTCTGTAAAGATTGCAGCAGATTTGGCGACGAAATACCGCAAAAATGTCCAGTATAATCTAGCAGCGACAACTTTGCACTCAGAGGCTCCATAACCATCAAAGTTGTGGAGGTCCGTTTACACTCATCGCCGGGTTAGAAAACATTTTCGATTCCCATTAAACAGTGTCCAAGAGTACGATATCGAGTCGGTGATCGTGTTGCCCACCCGAGCTTCAAGATAGTTTGTACTCACTCAAATTCCTTATATACCAATCACTCAACTGCGCAACTACCCGGAGTTAGTACTGGTAGGCTAAGCCTACTTACTGCCTGGTAGAGATGCGTCCCTGTTACTGTGATTTCCTTATTTGGACAATGCACATTTATCTTATTGTTGTGTGCGTTCTTATTGTTTTTACAATGTGAAGCTTGTCGCTTGCCACGTTGACAATGGTCGATATTTAATGGGATCCTTCGTGGACCGATCCCTTTGTCTTTGGTGGACCGAACCGTATTTGCTCCTAGAGAGGTGTCACTCATAGTTCTGTTAATTCCCGCTTGGCTTCGTTTTTCACCTTTCACAGTTGTGCAACAGTGCACGACTTTCCCTACCGTCACTCTTTCTTTCACGACCAACAGCACCATTAGAGCCAACGAAATGCAGAATTCCTTCATCATCATCCGAGCCATATTTTTCAGTAAGTATACGATATCAGTAAATGCGATTCAGCCAGATAACATCGAGGCCGCAGCCCTCATCCTTTATTTCAATTTACTAGCAACTATATTTGCAGGGTGGAATATCATGTCCTCTACTTCTTCTGGGATGCCAGGTGTGTTGTTTAGTATGGCGGTGATGATCTCGACTGACATGTTTGTAGCGCCTGGTGCAGCGGCATTCCTTGTCATAAACGCTGCCCTCATATTCGCTCTTACAATCCTGTATGTATCGTGTTGTTGACCTTACATAACCCCCTGATTTTTCTCATTAGAGCATATTCGGCGGAGGTTATATGCCCGAAAGCGAGGCCTTCCCATGTTAGATTTGAGTGTGGCTGGACTGTACTGATGGGCGTGCTTCAGCTAGGTAAGCTATCGCTGGCGATAACATCTGAGATCTATGTCTCCTCTGACCACACTATCATTGGAATTTGAAGCTGCCAGCATTTATGTCACAACCGCTCGTTCCCCAGCGTTTTGTCAATCGCAATGTAAATATGGTTGCTCAGTGGTTTGTTGCGTAACTGACCTCCTTTGTTCTTTCAGCCACGTGGACTATCTGCGCCTCTGCAGCACTACTTACGCCGATCAGCTGGTTAGCCACGTCCACCAGTATGTCATCATCAATCATAACTCATGGCTAGCATTAGTACTGATGATGTGACAATAGTGCTTGTGTATTGTGTTACGTTATGCGTCATGGCAGCAACTCATGTTCATTTCTTGCCTGCCCTTTGGAAAATGCCTGTGAACGCGGTTCCTTGGTTCAACCTCGCTGATTCGCTACCTGTCTCTCTTCCCTCACGCCCATTATCGGAAATATCATCGTCCACTTGGGCTGAAAGCGGCAGTTCTTGCAGTATCTCCAAATACATTGTGGACACTTGGGAAAGGCTTCATAGAGTCGAAGGACGTGTCATCGAACCCTCGAAGCCTATCCTGTTTTCCCGCAATTGTCCATCCATCGATTCTACTCGACCGGCGTGGGCGAAGCAACTTGAACTTCAGACTCGGCGTGGTGTGGACCAACCTTTTTTGACACAACGCTTATCGCCGTCCAGCAGCTCTCCAAAGGCACCCCTGCCACCTCCAAAAGCTTGTGCCAGACAGGCGTCCGGTTCGAATGGCTTGAAGTATTCTGAGACTTTTGTGGATTTGCAGCTGGGTAAAAATACATCCTGCTCAACTTTGACGCTACCGACACCCACCATTTTTCCGAAGAGGATTGCAGATCCTGATCTGCCCATCCCACGACCACGATTGTCTGAGTGGATACCCGCGAGCGTGGCCAATTTTCATGCCGAACTCTGATGACCCCTTTTTGGTCACCATCCTTGCTCTTAAATCACTTTCTTGTCCCAATCAACATATCCAATTGTATCCCTTACCATATTTAGCTTTCATTCGGACTTTGGGTATCACCACCAATGCTGTATTAAATATATCCACCATCGTAATGCAGTTGTAAAATTTTGAATACCTCAGTCTGGACTAGTGACTTTCCAAGGATAGGTGACAGAAAGCATGTGTTATGAGATCAGCTTCGGCTCAAAACTCGGCTCCTTCGGATCCGCCCGTCTCCAACCAGGCTACCCGGCCCCGCAACTTGCGATTCTCCTCGCGAGCCTTTGCAAGTGCGATTGTGGTGCCCTCAAGCTGCCTTTTGGTCTCTTCGAGTTCCTCTGCAGTTTCTTCCCCTAGTTCCGCAGCTCCTACGGCAATGCCTGTTGGAAAGGTCGTGAGACGAGACAAGAGAAATGGGCCTAACCTAAAATTACCTCCAACAAGCTTCACTAAACGCCACAGACGAAGAATGATCAGCAGACCAGCCAATTCGCGTTGGCGTCCCTTGAGGACAAATTCGAGTATGAAAGTCGTGATGATAATTGCGGCATCAAACAGATGCAAAGTCGAATGCGGAACATCTGAGAATGGGCTGTAGAAGCGGACTCCAAAGGTCCAGAGGGCAACTGGTATTTCAATAAGAAAGAGCGTGGTTATGGCAAGGGATATAGTGGCCAGAACTTCGAGCCATGCAGGGCCCTCATCTAGCGGGGCGCATGAATCGGACAAGACGGTGAATCCGAGATCAGCGAGGACACAAGTAGCATCAATCACAATCTACAGCAGTGCTGCACGTCAACAAGAAGCGACAATATGTGACAGCGGCTGCTCACCAAGGTAATAATGAATGTATGGAAGCGCCGGGACTCTAAAACGCACGAAATGTTCTCGCGCCAGACGTCTAAAGTCCCTTTGGGCGGCTCTGTGGGCGCACCATCCTCGCCATACGGGAATGAGAGGAGAGGCTGTTGTTCTCCTGGACCGGACATGATGGTTTGGAGTCAATTGTGCCTCGCACCGCTAAGCGTTTTCTACTTTGCCTGTTACGGAAGTTCGTCCCTATTATTACAGCTGTTTGCAGAACGCTAAGCCGAAAAGAATATAAACATCGGCAAGAATTCAACTTCCGACGGCCAATCAATTATTAATCCATCAACGTTTCAAAGTCTACAGTGGCTTGAGCTTGTTAGATATCAAGGATCGAATGATCCGTCGTTACACTGGGGATCAGTGAACGGTCAATATTCCAATGCGATACACTGGGAAGACGTATCGGGAGACTGGCAAGGTCCGGGTTGTGCAGATCGACCCTGCTCGACAACCCTGATGCAAAAGTTAACGTTGAAAGACGGTAGTCATTTGATCTGTATTCATAGAGTTCGTATACGTTGACCATGCTGAACCTTTTGGGGTGTTGTCGCAGTACAAGAAGCTTGGGTGAGGATATGCTATTATGTAGTATCAATAAGATAAGATATGTCCAATAGAGTTTACCTAATAATTCTACATATTTTATCGGACATTGAAAATCAAACACCGCTGTTGTGTGTATTATAGCGGTAGCGCTTACAGTAAATTATTAATAATACACAGTACTTGTGCCCCACTACGGCACCCTCTTACTCAAAAAGGCACCACACCCTCTTCGAATTCACTACTTCAGCGACCGCTGATCACGAGGCAGTGTCTTTAGGACCGACCGTCACTGGCAGGATGCGCTGAAAACTCGAGGCTGGCACTGCATACCACCTAGGCGACTAAATTTATCATGTTACTTCCCAGGAACACACTAGTTGCTGCGGTATTAACTAACACACCGTGACACAGTCCTTGACTAAAAATGCAGCTGCGCACAGGCAGGGTTTATCCCATCCCTCAGGGTGTCCGTCTGGTACTGACACAGTCTGTGACTGCGCCGAACTAATTTCGTTTCATCGTGACCACGTTTTGCTATTTCCTTTCTTCTTTCCTATATTACATTCAACTTCTCCATCTTTCGATTTCGCTGACTACGTCAGTCCCCCCCCTTTTAATGGCTCCAAATACCTCCTGGAACACGTTTCGGAAATTTCGTCGCATTGTTCTCGGTGAGTTTGACATGTGTGATATGGCTGATTCTGATTGACCCCTTCAAAGCTTTGGCTTCGATTATTTCCTTGACATGGTCCATCATCATAGCCGTGTACATTGCCAACAATTGGTCAGGCTACAATTCCGGCGAGCGTAAGTAGCATCAACACCTTTCGCAATGACCTGTACCGAAACCGTCCGAATTGCAGGCGGATTTCTGTTCGGTCTCCTTGTTCTTGACTTCGTTGCTTCGATTTTGTTGTATCTCATGTGAGCATTATCACTCCACTCCTATCTGTAGTATGCTCACGGTGCGCAGGATCGTCGTGCAATATCATTTTTGGCCAGACGCCGCGCGAACGGCAGTACTTTTGTGTCTTGACGTCGGTTCGTGTTGACCGTGCTGTGCGTGCGCCAATGGAACTCACGTCGCCTTTTCTAGCCGGTACCGTAGTCTTCATGATTCTTAGCCCAAAATTTCCGTGTAGCGCTTTTGGTTAGTTTTCTTGACTGCGTGAGCGATTCGTGGGCTGACTGAACAAGGCTCTACTGCAAAATGTCATATTATGACAATGACGGTCCTCATAGGATCTTGGGTTATTTCCGCACTGAGTAGGTGCTTGTTTACACCGTCCTTTTTTGCACACAAATAATAGCGATGACAGTGCTTCTGTATGCCATCTGCCTGCCTTTCGTGTTTTCTATCCCTCGTCCACCCAGCCCAACTCAAACTGACAATTTGGAGAATCAACCTGATGTTTTGGAGGTCTCGGAAGATCTGCACATGTCTCATGCGTCGTCTGCGTCTCAAGCGTGGCTCTTCAAAAAGCAAGAGATGTCTCCTGAGGACCCTGCATCGGAGCTTCCGTTTCCCCAACACATCCCTGCTGACTACCAGCTTCCCAGCAATGCTGTGTCACCGTCGTCGTTGCACATGCCACCACAAGAAACGCGTGATGATCACATCGAATTGGAGATGCTAAATACTGCTTCAGTCTATTCTGACGCATCTCCTCAATATAGCACTGTGAGAACTATCCGTGCTCCAGACATTGCCGACAGAAGCCCGAATTCATCTGGCTCATCCTCTCCACGACAATACTCACCTCACTTGGATCATCTTCAGTCATCCGGTTTGCCGAACCGCTTCGTCGGCGAGACTTTGGATGTCAATCGTGATTCAGTGGCCAGCAGCCTATATGGATCCACTTATGAATTTCCCACAGTCCCCGTACCACTCGCTGAAGCACCTCATCGAAACCTGAGTGTGATCACAGGAAGTTCGGCCTCAATGTATTCCCAAGGAACTATGTTTGCCCGTGCCAGAACTACATCCCCCGCAAGTCCAACTACTCGTCTGATTGCATCGCCGTCGATGTCGCGCTCCCCTGTTCACCTGTCTGTACATTCCATGATGGCTAGCGTCCACGATCATGTGGAGTATCAGGCTGCAAGAGGTGATTACGACACTCCCAGCGATGGCTTTTTGGCTCCCCCGCTGACTGCTCTTCCCACACCACAACTTTCTACAGGACCAAACGAACCCACGTTTGAACTTCACCTTTCCGATGTCCCCAGAAGAGATTCTCAGGACGAGTCATTGGATTTTCCTCGGGACGTAGTGCAAGATCCTGTTCAACATCCCCCACTAGTGCGGCCCAGCTTGCAACATCTTCGCAATGATTCCACAAACTCTAATATCGATCTGGACGGGTGGAGGAGACTCGTCCTTAGCGCTGCTGGGCGAGAACAATGATATTAGATTTGGACTTTCACTTATAGTAATCTACATTGGCATTTAATGGCCTGCCAATATGACCTGGACTTGTGCTCGAGGCCCATGTACTTAGTACCCGTAGTTGCCTTATGAGGATGACGTACGTCGACTTGTCAATAGTTTACTACTTATGCCTGTCGATCTCCTTGAACTCGTACATAACACTTCAGCTTCAGCACACCAAACCATTTCTAGTGTTGCATATGTCGCTCTCGCTTGTCTGGCCATTACTTGGGTTCAGCCCAATCACTGCTCGTTCGAGTTTGAGCACAATTCAGTCTCGCTCACTCTTAGGCTCTGTCATTTGTCAACAACGTTTACTTTCCGCACGTGCGCATGTGCCTCGGACGTGGGTATTGAATCGACGAGGCGCTGTACGCAAAGGGCAGCTCCTCCTGCCCAGCTTGCTGACAGCTGCAGGGACAGCAGGGATTGCACTTGGCCTAGCAACGTGCATCGCACCAATCATTCATTGTGACAGTAAAGGTACTCCGAATTGTTTTTGTTATGTAGCTGAACACGGGTTGATCTCGAGGCACCCAGGGCCAGGTACCACACCCACTCCACCTTCTCAGGCCCCCCCACCCCCAGAGTCCTCGGTCAATCTGTATGAATTGACATTTGGTACAGTAGCTGGCATGTGCGCAGGGGTGTTCATCAAGAAAGGTGCAAAAATAGTCGCATTCTTCTTGGGTGGTGTATTCGTCCTCCTTCAAGTATGTAACATGTATTTTTGGTCGACGACGTGCACTTACCGATTTAAAAGTACCTTGGGTCGATGTCACTCGTCCGTGTTGATTGGGCTCGCATGGCTGCTCGATTCGAGAACTTGTTGTATACCAAAGATGCGTTAGGTAACAAGAGGCCACCAACTATTCCATCACTGTGGAGATGGACGGTGGACTTTTTAACAGCAGACTTCCAGCCAAGGGCGTCTTTCATTGCTGGACTCGCGTTAGGGTTGCGCATTGGTTGAAGCGACGCGGTGTTGAAAGGACGTTATCCAAATCGGGCAAGAGAAAAAATAGCTCGTAATTTGTTCTCAGTCTGTAGTGTCTTCTATCTCTCCGCGCGGTCTACATTATCAGCTGGTTTGCTATGGGAGGGCGACGAACAAAGTACAAGCAAGAGCCTCCAGCTCCACTTCGCAATCCAAATGAAACTCGCCCTTCAACAAAAAGGCTCGGGAAGCGAAAGGCAAATGTAGATCATGAGCCTGAACCAAGTACCAACAGCCGTCCCACAAAAAAAGCTAAGGCAGATAAACCTTCGGCCTCAAAGAAGCGGACGAAGGATCCAGAGAAGATATCAAAGGTTAAGCCTACACCTACCAAAGAAAAAAGCATACCACTCTCGGAAGAAGGCGAAAGCGATGGGTGGGAAGCCGCTAGTGATTTGGAAGATGTCGATGGTCTCGCGGTAGACGGTCTGGATGACTTGGATATCGATGAGGAGTGAGTTCTTCCTTCCACTATGTTCCTGGCTAAAGTTTTTTTTCTCTGCAGCGATGACCTTTTACGAGGGGTTCCGGAAGAATTGGATCTTGGCTCAGACGATGAGGAAGTCGCACTGTTCCCACAAAAGGGCCGGAAATCTAAGCAGGCTGAACGTCCAACCAAAATTATTCCAACAGCCTCAGATGAAGACTCCGATGATGAGTCTGACAACGAGGACGGGCCAATTACTGCCAAGAACATTGAGTTCCGCTCTCGTGCCCTCGATGAGGAGGCTGCTCGTGAGGCGGAGCTTGATCTCGAGGAGATGCAGAATGCTGCCTTGGATGCCAGTGACGACGAAATTGACATGGAAGGGGAGGGAGAAGACGCAGAGGCATTTCATTTACCTACGGCTGAAGAGAGAGCAGAGGAGAAAAATCATGTTGCTGATGTCCATGTCGTTCAGCGGAGGATGCGAGAATGTGTCCGTATCTTGGGTAATTTCAGGAAACTGGGTGCAAAAGATCGGTACGTCTTTCAATCAGCCGTTTTCAATCGTGTCTGTATTTTCAATGACATGTGCAGGCTACGGTCGGAATATGTCGAGCAGCTTGTCTCCGACATCGCTAGTTACTATGGATATAATGATTTTCTTGCCGAGAAGCTATTCCAGCTATTTCCAGTTTCTGAGGTGTGTGCTCTGTCTCTCTCTATAGTCCCATGCTTATTCCGTTTTGCCTCTTCCGCAGGCCATCGAGTTCTTCGAAGCAAATGAGGTATCAAGACCAGTGACTATCCGAACAAATACACTCAAAACACGAAGACGAGACCTTGCGCAAGCCCTCATCAACCGTGGTGTCAACCTCGAGCCGATAGGCAAATGGACCAATGTTGGTCTCCAGGTTTTCGAAAGCAGCGTACCCATAGGTTTGTATGGATCCTTTAACTCCAAGCCATGCGGAACTAAATTCCATGACAGGTGCGACACCCGAGTATCTCTCTGGCCACTATATGCTTCAGGCAGCTTCATCATTCCTTCCCGTCATCGCATTAAGCCCTCAACCGAACGAACGTGTGCTTGACATGGCATCTGCTCCTGGAGGCAAGACGACGCACATTGCTGCACTCCTACAAAATACTGGCATTGTTTTTGCCAATGATGCGAACAAGGCACGGACAAAGAGTCTGACGGCAAACGTGCATCGTCTAGGGTGCAAAAACGTCGTCATCTGTTCATACGACGGTCGGGAGTTTCCCAAGGTAATGGGTGGGTTTGACAGGGTCCTTTTGGATGCACCATGTAGCGGTACTGGTGTTATCAGCAAAGACTCGAGTGTGAAGGTCAACAAGGTGAGGTTTCCGGCTTGTGGTCAAAGATACATTTACTCACATAGTCATAAAGTCTGAGCGTGATTTCCACCTCCTCTCGCATCTCCAGAAGCAACTTATCCTCTGCGCCATTGACAGCGTCTCTCCTGACTCCAAAACGGGAGGATTTCTGGTCTACTCCACGTGTTCCGTCACTGTCGATGAAAACGAGGCTGTCGTCGATTATGCGTTGCGAAAGCGCCCGAACGTGAAACTGGTGGACACCGGTCTTGGCTTTGGCAGGGATGGTTTTACAAAGTATCGTGGAAAGACCTTCCACCCAAGCGTGAAGCTGACAAAGAGGTTTTACCCCCATGTGCACAACATGGATGGGTTCTATGTCGCAAAATTCAAGGTGGAAAAACGGACTAAGATAAAAGCTGGTACGCAGGAAGCCGGGTCGACTAATACAGTCGATGCAGATGAGCAGCAAGATGTTGGATTTGATTCTGATGAGGACAGAGCGTTCATTGAAGGTCTGTCCATCGATTTTATTATTTTATATCGCTTGTTCATGTATCTCCACAGAGGGAAAACGTATTCAGATGAAAGCCAAGGGTCTGCGGGTACCTCACAGACGACAATCAGATATAGCGGGCAGGGTGGTGAAAGCAGCCGCGTGATATACGTCAGCGCTGTTATGTTGCACATATGTCACACTTGACCCAAAAGACACATGGTCTGTCATTGTGGCAGAACACATAACGTATCCATTTTGTGCACGATAAGACATTCGAAGAAGTTTTTCGGTGGCGGACGATCAAAATACTTTGCAATGGAACCCGAGCAAAATACTGACCACAGCTGATGAAAGTGCATCTCGGCGGAGCCGGTCCACCGCTTTTGCCGCCGTGTGCAGAGGTGCAGGCAGCTGCGAGAGGGCGCGGGAGGTTGCTAGGTGATCCCAGGTACGCGAAGGTGGGCACAATAGCAGCTCTGAGATAGCGCAAGTAACAGGCAACAAAACGAAGCATCAACGTGGAGATCTGGACGCGGATCAGAGGTCAGCTGTTCTTTGATACAAAACCCGCAAGGCACTACTGCTGTGACGATGTCTAGATGCAACCATGACTGGGTCTGAGCCGTGGATGAACACCCATCAAACCAATTAATCGGTGCAGACTCCTAGTTTTCGAAATGAAATCGCAAGTGGACCTCGTGGTGTTTGGGCGCAGATATAGCAGTGATCCAGAACGTGCGTGAGGCTCATCTGGTGAGGGTCTTTGAGGGGCAGTGACCATCATCTGCGATAAATGAACTTACGTGCGAGTCCTGAGACACGAGGCAGGAATACAGATTTCTTTGTGCGCGAGTTGAGAGCTCGACTGGGATTGGAGTTTCCAAATGGCAAATATAGTGCCATCTGTGGAGTCTGAGCGCGGGTCTGCTAATGAAGGAAACGAATGCAGACTTTTACTTGCCAGGGTGTCGATGGTCTGGTGAGATCTTTAGGTCGTCGTGGCACATGAACGACCTCTGTCGGACATTTGTGGCATGACACTGGTATGGTGGCAGGCTTTCCGCTGTGGCTGAGACGCTGGCGTGTACGAAAATAGAATGCAGATCAAGATATGATTCATGCTGACTCGACTTGAATCATGTATATGGACGTGATATATGTCCGGGAAGTAAGGCTGCTGATGAGAAAATGACGGTCAAGTCAGACCGTACAAGTTTCTCGTGATGTAAGTCAAGTGATTATACGCTCACCATTATTTATAGATGGCAAACCTAGAACATGGACTACCGCTGTATGTTTGAGCCCCAGTACTATCCCTGAAGGCCTGGCAGACAAAGTGTGCCTTGACGTTAACGTCCTTACTTTTCGATACATGAATAGAAAGAAGTCTACTACAGCGTTGCCTGTGCAGCAGGATAGTAGATAGGTGTAATAAGTGTCACTCTTATGAAAATGACACATTTGTATTAGTTCGATCAGGACGCCAAGGTGATTGGGCCAAGAACAAATAAATGTCATGAAAGGGGATCAAGCAGCGATGCGGCGATGTGAGAATAGGGAGACCTTCACGGACCGCCACGATGATGACGATAGTGCACATGTCGTCATGACCACATCAGACCATGACAAGCCTGAGAAGTAATAATTCTACTCACTCGTACAGTGCTGCGTATATGTTTGTCTTTTTTTCAACTAACCTTAAACAGGAGTCGAAACCGCGCTCGGTGGCGAGCGGATGTGATCGGTATCCTAGTCTCGTGATCTCGCTAGTTTTGACGTGATCCGAACCTTCCTTTGTACAACTGAGAACATCCTTCTTGGGTTTGTCTTATTCTGACTACCCTACGCCCAACCGCACGGGCCATAGTTTACACGCTCTCCTCAAACTACCCATACTCACTTCTCTTGCTAAAAATTCCTGCTACATTCTCTCAATATTTTTTTACGCGCAATCAGACGCCGTGAGAGATAACATAACCAGAAAAGGTAATCAAACAAATAGGAAGAACGTTAGAAATTAGGTTAGCTGCTTTGTTTGGCGCGTAAAGCGGAGCCAAATACGGATAAGTAGAGCCCGAATTTGACAACAACCATATCTCTTCCTCTCTCTTACTCCTCCTCTTCTAGCCTTTGGGCCCAGCGTTGCGTAGCACGCCCTTCTCTCCCTTGTCAATTTATTATCTTTTCATGTTCGTATCATCTAGTCCTGTTTTCTGTCGTCCCTCTCACTCACTTGCTCTTGTTGACAGCTCACATTCGCATTTTTTGCTATAATGTCTGCTCCTGAGGTCACCGCTGCTGTTCCCGTCCCCGCTGAGGAAGTCAAGGTCGCTGAGACCCCTGCCGCCGAACCCGCCCCTGAGGCTTCCGCTGCTGAAGAGCCTGCTCCCGTTACTGTAATTTTTTTCAATTTCCCTTTGTTGTTCCGGCCGATTCTAACCTTATACACAGGAAGCTCCAAAGGAGGAAGCCAAGGCTGAAGTGAGCTCCTCACATTGTTCCCTTGCTTTTGTAAGTTGACGCGTTTTTTCAGGAGGCCGCACCCGCACCCGCACCCGAGGCCGCTCCTGAGGCCCCTGCAGAGTCTGCCAAGGAGGAAGCCAAGACTGTATGTGTCCAATTTGTAATTCCTCCAGCACACCTGACCTTCTCGTAGGAGGCCAAGAAGGAGGAACGCCCCAAGAGTCCCGGTCTCCTTGCCAAGCTCCTTGCCCCCTTCAAGGAAGGCAAGACCAAGGTAGAGAAGAAGGTGAAGGCTCCCAAGAGTCCCAAGAAGGATAAGAAGAAGGAAGAATTGAAGGAGGAGGTCAGTGTTCAATTCCAGCCCAACAACGTTGTAATTCATAGGTATTTAGGCTGCTCCCCCTGCTGAGGAGCCTGCCAAAGAGGAGGCACCTCCCGCTGAGGCAAAGGTTGAGGAGACCCCTGCTGTCGCCGAGCCTTCCGCAGCTCCGGAGCCTGCAGCTGAGCCTGTCAAAGAAACGTTCGTCTTTTCTCGTTGGATGACTCCATTGACTAACCCACTTTAGTGAGACCGCTGCCGCTGAAGCCCCCGCTGCAGAGCCCGCACCTGAGACCGCCCCGGAGGCTGTAGTTGAGGCCCCCAAGGAGAACAAGGCTGCCAAAGTTGGGCGCCGTCTGTCTGCGCGTGTGGGCGACCTTTTCTTCAGATCCAAGCCAAAGACGGAGAGCTCCACTCCTGCCAAGGTGGACGAGCATCCCCCCGTGATTGATGAACCAGCTCCGGTTGCTCCCCTTGAGAACCCTGCTAGTTCGGAGCCTGCTCCCGCAGAGGCTGCTGCACCTGCCGTCGAGGAGCCCGTCCCTGCTGAGCCCGCACTCGCTGCCACCCCTGTGATCTCGGCTGTCGCATAAGCGCTTATTCCGAGGTTGTTGGTAATATCATGAACGACACGAGCGCATATTCATCTGCTCCTCTTTATTCCATGGGTATGTTGAGCAGTCTTTCTCACTGCACTTGGTTTTGGTCATTATCAGGATCCCTTCATTAGCTCTCCTCATTCATGTCTTTTACCCTCTTCTGCTACCATACTTGTTGGATTTGGTCTTTGCTTTCTTTTCACGACCCTACTCATCATGACTACATTCCGATCCGTGTTTTCACTACCTAATGTCGATCTTGATCATTGATACCCTTACTTTGCTATGGTCGGATCAGTTAACCATGTCATTAAAGTTCTATCCTGTAATGATGTTGGAGGGTTGTATGAACATCAACAGCTCACGCACCCTTTTGGCGAGTTGAAGTGTGACTCGACTTGATTCATGTCATCAACAAACCGGGCACCTCTTAGTTACCTTTGCTTGCAATGTCTCCGAACACAACTTCCTCTACCGGCAAGGATAAATTGATCGCAGATGAAGAAGAGGTTCTGCAAGCTGTTATTCTAGCAGACAGTTTTAACAAACGATTCAAGCCGCTAACCACCCATAAACCTCGAGTAAGTCACTTCCTGCATCACGAAATCATACCAATATCATTCTCAATCAGTGCCTGCTGCCGATATGCAATGCTCCATTGCTGGACTGGACGTTCGAAAGCCTTGCTCTAGCTGGCGTACAAGAGATCTTCGTAATATGTAGATCACATGCGGAACTGGTCAAGACTGCGATCAAGTGAGTGTCTGAACCGCCATTCTTTCGTTTATGGTGGTTGATTGTGCGATCCAGGAATTCGAAGTGGTCTAAGCCCGGCGCGGGCCTCAAGATCGTCCCAATCGTGACTGCGAAAGAGACGTTCACGCCTGGCGATGCCATGCGCGACATCTACACCCATGGCATCATCACTTCAGATTTCGTGCTCGTCACCGGTGACCTCGTGAGCAACATACACATAGGCGATGTTGTTCGCGAGCACAAAGAGCGGAGAAAAACGGACAAGGACGCTATAATGACGATGGTAGTCAAACAAAGTGGCGTAAACCATCGGACGCGGTACGTCAGTCCTCGACCAAGTCATCACTCTACTCATGTCCCCCTAGTTCGAAAGGCGATTCCGCGGTGTTTGTGATAGATCCAGAGACATCAAAGTGCCTGCATTATGAGGCAGTGACTGGGTACCCGCCAAAGAAATACGCAAGCATACCACGCGAAATTCTGAATGAACACCCTGAAGTGGAGATCCGAAATGACTTGATTGATTGTTCGATAGATATATGCTCTGTAGAGGTGCGTTTGACATAGTTTTGCCTTATTCACGTTAATTGGTTTGATCTCTTCTTGCACAGGTGCCGTCGCTGTTCCAGGACAACTTTGACTACGGGGATGTACGGAGGGATTTCGTCCACGGCGTCCTTACGTCTGACCTGCTCATGAAAAGTATCTATTGCTATATAGCCAAAGAGGGGTATGCTGCTCGTGTAAGGGATACCCGGAGTTATGATTCCATCAGGTTAGTGTCCCAACCTTTTTTTGACGATTTCATCGCATTTAACAGAAATCAGCAAAGACATTCTTGCAAGATGGACATTCCCTTTGGTGCCAGATGATAACCATCCTGGTGGCCACTCGTACGAGCATCTACGAGGAAACAAATACATTGCCAAGGATAATTCAGTGATACTCTCCCGGTAAGAACGTTTCCAAATCCTGTCGGTCATGTGCCCATTCGTCGAGAATTTAGGACGTGCAAGATCGGAAACAACACGCTGATCGGTTCAAAATCGCAGATAGCTGATAATGCTCAGGTCACGGCATCTGTTCTTGGCCAGCGATGCATTGTTGGCGCGGGCAGTATAGTCCGCAACTCTTATCTCTTTGATGGAGCGGTCATCGGACCGAATTGTGTCGTCGAGCACAGTATAATTGGGTCGGGGGTACACATCAAGGAGCGCACGCATGTTGAACGCGGATGTTTGATTGCTGATGGCGTCGTCGTCGGTCCGCAGGCGAAACTTGCGCCGTTTTCAAGATTGTCTAAGCGGCGGCAGGACAGCGATGAGGAAGATGAAGAATTCGAAGATGCAGAAGAACAGTTCGAAGAAGAAGAAGATGGCGACGACGAAGGTGAAGATGGTGACGACGAAGATGAGGTCGACTCAGAGCTAGAGGACGTAGAAGCAAGTGGGTAAAGTTAACGTCTAGTCGAAACCCTGACTCATTGTTGCTCCCAAGACCAAGATCCTGAAGCTCTTGCGAAACTTGGTTCTGACACTAATGCGATCATTTGGCCACTGCCGGTTGTTGACGAGGACGAGGCCATTGATGACCTGGAACATCCTGATAACCAACGCTTAATGCGAATAGGTAGGTCTTGTTCATCATCAATTCACATCATCTGCTTAACTATACGGTATTTTACAGGCGACAACGCATCAGATCTCGTTCTCTCCGATCCTGGCTCTGTCACTTCATCAGAGTCGGAGTCAGATTCTGACGATGACGATGATGACGAGCACTTTTACGATTCCAACCCCGCTTCCTCAACCACTTCACTTCCGCTCAGCACACCTTCGAATCTGGTTGCACAAGCAGACTCGGCAGTGATATCAGAGTTCCAGCAGGAAGTCAAGCAGTCGCTCGATCGTGCGTTTGCCGAAGGTCATTCGGTCGATAACGCCGCCGTGGAACTGAAGACGCTACGTATGGCTAGCAATGTATCTCTCCGCCTAGTGCGGGAGGCCGTGATCGCAGCCATGGTAAGCCGGATCAAAATTATAGCGGGCGGAGGCATTCCGCAACGACAGGAGATTGCTAGTATGATTGCCCGATGGGGAGGGCTGATTGACAAGATTGGAGGGGTAGATCCTGTGGAAACTGTCGAGATCCTTCAAGTAAGTGTCTCGTGAGGATGACTTGAGGCAGTTTTGAATCGTGTACTACAGGAATATTGCGCTTCATCGGATCGCTTGCCCTTGTTTGGCCAGATTCTTGCCGCGCTCTACCAGGACGACATAGTCGACGAAGATGACATCCGCGCATGGCATGGAAAGTCCAAGTCTCAAGGCCAGGGCGTTAAGCCTGCGTCTTTGCAAGACTGTTATAACAAATGCTGGGTCACTGGAGCTCATATGATAAAACAGTTTGATGAGCAGGATAGCGATGAAGAATCAGAGGAAGAATCGGAGGATGGCAGCGAAACGAGGGAACCTGCTGTCAAAAATCCAGTTACAAAGGAACTGCCTTCGGCAGGCGCAAATTCTTCGGAAGAGGGTTCATCCGAGGAAAGTTCGGAGGAAGAGGACGAGGACGAGGGTGACACTGACGAGGATGACAGTGAATAAGATAGATCACTTTAGTCCTGTGCAATGGTAGAAGGGGTCAAAATGTGATCGGCGAGGTTGACTAACTTTCTCAGTTCATCGTAACTACTGATAGTGTCGATTGTGCCCTCCTTCCCGCGACCCTACTCTGATTTATTTGTCCCGTGACAGGTGATTAATTATTTGTTGGGCATTCAATCAGTGACATAAAGGTTGAACATTGAATAAAGATTTGAGACGGAAATATCACTATACTAGTATACTATAGTCGGAAGGTATGTATAAAGTGTAGTGCATAATGTGCATTTTACATATTTGGTCATGGATGCATCAATGTCAGGAAAACGTGTAATCCCCTCCTGGATATACCACCAAATGATTAAGTTCATCGACGGACCATGAAAGGCTCAACTCTAAATTGGAGTAGGATGTAAGACGGAAAGATGGGTAGTGCACAGGTAACTTGCCTGAGGCTGTAAACGCCCTCAATACTTCAGAATAATGTAGAGTGCTACAGGCGACATGATGAGAAGGGTGACAAACCAGTGAAGAACATTGTGTGACATACCGTGAATGATTCCTGGACTGAGAACGGTAACCGAAGAATGGTCAGTCAAGGCGGCGGACAAAGTAGACGAAGGGTATCTCACATATCTAACGCAAATTAAAAGTGGTAAGCCAACGCAATAAATCAAAGAAAAGGGACTCACATCCTGAGAAGGAGGGAGAGCAGGCGGTTATAGGCAGACTAAATTAGAGTATTATGCGACGGGCTTACCAAGAAGAGTTAGCAGGCAATTAATGAGCTATCACAGAGCTAGTGAGCGAGGCGAATTCCCATGAAGAACCTAACTGACCAGGTCGGCTGTACACCCCCGTTCCAAGAATACACCTAAAGGAGGAAAAACGATAGCACAACTAGCAGGTCGGTGAGCTTCTTAATAGGACTAGCGGTTGGCGACATACATTATCTAAATGCATGCAAACCCATCAGGTTATACTGACTTGCTAGAATAAGGAAAGTAAAGTACCTTGCAAATATCGGAAGCTGTGAATGCCATGTTGCAAGTGAACCCAGCATGCAGTCACTGCGTCCTGCCGTTATATAGACTGGCACTACTCCCAGTGACGTCAATTGAATTTGTGGCGCTGACGTCACCCGGAATCATTTGTAAGGCCAGGCCAGTGGCTGTGTTCAACTTGTCATTAGTACGTCGCAAAGTACAAAGTCATTACCATACTCATTAATTTTCCTAGTCCTGATGGACGAATACACTAACATTCCCTATATCCCCTCTCATCCACCCGATGACTTCCAGACCTTCAACATCTACATCCCGAAACCTTCCAGGCCACGTAATACATCGGGTCTAATCTGTTTTATCCATGGAGGTGCATGGAGAAGGTGGGTTTCTCCTCCGCAAAGAGTCTCATTCCTTACCCTGTCTCCCCTTTAGCGAAGATAAACTTGATCACGCTGCATTGGCTCGTAGACTCGCCACTTTCACTGGATACGCAGTGGCAGTCCCCAATTACCGCCTGTCTCCTCGTGAAATGACAGAACACAATGCAATCCGCCATCCCGATCACGCGAAAGATATCCTACGCTTTCTTGAATTCATCATCACATGGCAAGGCCCGTACGGCACCAGTGTCTATAATTCGAACAACTTATGTTTGATGGGACATAGCTGTGGTGCTCATATATTGTCATCGATCTTCCTCGAGGCCACCGAGGACCCTTTGCGCCCCTCACCCGAGCTTCTCAACAGCACAAAAGCCATCATCATGTCGGAGGGAATATATGACATCGATCTCCTTCTCTCGAGTTTCCCCACTTATAGGGATTGGTTCATCGAGGCCGCATTTGGCCCGCGGAGTACTTACCGCGAAGTTTCAGTCATGACGATGAATCCGAGGATGGAGTACAATCACTTGCGGTGGTTGATCGTGCATTCCAAAGGGGACACCTTGATCGATGAAGCTCAGAGCGAAGCAATGTATCAGCATTTACTTCGCAATGCCTCCCATGTTACGAGAAACTTTGAACAACTCATAGAAGAGCACAATGACATACTAAAAAGCGTCGAATTTGTCAAACTTGTCGGACAATACATCATAGATAATGTACCTCCATGTACATAATATTACAATCTTGCTTTCGTCAAACCCTCGAATGCCTTTTCAAGACACGAGGCAGCTCTCTCGCAATCACTTAGTGTGTTGTACAGGGCTGCAGGTGTTAAGCGAATCACGTCGGGTCTTCTCTCATCCCCTACAACGCCCATGGCAGTCAATGCATTAAAAACCCTATCCATCACGTCTGAATTAGGTGGCAGGAATAGAAGCGATAACTGTGAACCCCGAGACTCGGGATCACGAGGTGTGATGATGGTGAATCCGGGTTGGCCTCGTTGGGCAGTGTGATCCCTGCTGTCCACAACACCCCGTAATAGGCATTGTGCCGAAGCCTCATTGATGGACACATAAAATCTTGACTTCATGAGTCTCATCTCCAGTTCGGAAGTCAACCGAAGCGATCGATCGCGTAAGGGCCCCATCATGCCGACTTCCTTGAAGATCTGCAAAGAACCCAGAAGGCATACGGTTGCAAGGACCGAGGGATTGGATTGCTGATATCCTTGCGCGCCAGGGATAGCTGAAAACCGAGGAGGCATGGCAAATCTGGTGGCTGGATCGTGTCCCCACCACCCTGCATACCTGGTAGTAATGCCGATTAGAAACCCCAAAAGAAGTGGTCAGTCAGCAAGCTCAATTACGCACTGTGGTAGCAAGCTGTTCTCCCATTTATTGTGCACGAAAAGCCCGCCAATTCCGCCGGGGCCTGAATTAAGATATTTGTATGAGCACCATACAGCGAAATCGACATCCCAATCGTGAAGTGCCATGGGAACATTTCCAATAGCATGAGCGAGGTCCCAGCCGCAGACACATCCCTTTGAACGACGAACGAAGAAGTCAACACATGTTTAGCAGGGTGACGTGTGGGGTAATTGAATGTAGCGGATCTTCGCCTGTCTTTTCACGTCATGAGGGGGTGATGAAAGAGGTACGTAATAATCAGAAGATGGTTGAACAAAATTTACCTGTGCCTTGGCTGCAGTGGTGATAGCCTTCATGGGAAATAATTGACCAGTGTAATACTGCACGCCGCTGAAAATCACCATAGAAATCGAGGGTCCTTCTTTGGCAATCAAGTCCACGATGTCGGACTCTCGTAGTGTAAACTCTCCTTCACGAGGACACATTTCGATTATTGCTTCGTTCGGGTCATACCCGTGCAGACGAGCCTGGGAAGCGAATGCGTACTATGCCGCATGTAAGAAACAGAGGAAGGATGTAAGATGCCAACCACTCACCTGATCCGAGGGAAATGCACCGCCTTCACATAGAATCTTAAAACGTTGAGGAGTAGGTTTGTAAAATGCGGCCATCATCAAATGGAGGTTCGCAGTCAGAGTGCCCATGCATGCCACCTCCTTCTCTGAGGCACCTACATCAGGTACCGCATCAGAACTTCTCGATTCTCTGCAAAACGTGACAGTTAATAGTTACTCACCCACCAATTCAGCAAGTAGAGGGGTGACTGTATCGGCAATGTTCATCCATTCGCGGTCATAAGGGTGCGCAAAATGCCCTTGGACGGCTCTAATAATTTTTTTTTTCGTATACAAGAAAACAAAGGGCCATCAAGATAAGGAACGGTTCGTGGCCTCAGGGATGCGCAGCACGTACCGTGTACCCCAAACATCTAACTCCTCTTGTAGGAGAGCCTTGGACCGTTTGGTTAATGGACCAAGAGAGTTTCCGCAAAGATAAGTGCATCTCTGATGAGCTGATGATCCAGCCCTTGAATAATCTGAGAAGTTACGTAAAGAGGTTCTTCACCATTTTCTTGTTGTATTTTAGCTCCAATATCCCTATTGGTTGGGATAATAAACTCCCTTGAGAGTACGACGTTAAGGTCACTCCAGTGCGGAGGCATCATCAGGGTCGGGTAAAGATTCAGACTCAAGAGTTGATCTAAGATCTTACATAAATTTCATTATTTCCTTTTCGGTACCACTAGGATTAATGTACCCAACCGCCGTGCATGTGGCCCTCACGACTCGTCCTGATAGTCACCCTTGATGAACAATAACACTCCTCCCCTCGATAATGCCCGTAAAGTGGTTATCGTCGGTGCAGGTCCAGTAGGATGTCTGGCGGCAATTGCCTTTGCCAAAATGAAATGGCAGGTCGAGGTCTATGAAGCGAGACCAGGTAAAGCGACAATGTTCTCGTCATCCATTATCTTGATTCTTTTTTTCAAGATTTACGGCTATCATCTTCGAAAGCGGCTGCTCAACAACGATCTATTAACCTGGCTATTTCATCGCGTGGCATCGCCGCTCTACGAGCCGTCGATGCCTCTGCAGCTGAGAGGTTTCTGCAAACGGTCATCCCTATGCGTGGGCGGATGATTCACGACAGACATGGAAATCTACAAAGCCAACCATACGACAAGGATGGTCAGGTATGTTTGGTTCCTGTATTTTACCACGGCTATGTGCCAAGTAAATTAACATTGTTCCATGTTTGCTCACTTTCTTAGTGCATCAATTCCATAGATCGCTCTCTTCTAAACGAAGGGCTACTGGAGGAGGCCTCGGCAACGCCCAACATCCGTTTGAACTTCGAGCACAAAGTCCTTTCAGCTGATTTCGACCAAAGAGTGCTGTTCCTTCGGGACGGCAATTCGGGAACAGATGTCCGAGTCAAATTCGACCTGTGTATCGCTGCAGACGGGAGTTATTCCATCATAAGGAGACAATTGATGAGGGTTGTGAGGTTGGTAGACAAGTTTCCGCTCTCGAGATATGATTCCAGTGTGTTGATATCGTTGCTTCTGCGTAGAATGAATTTTCAGCAAGAATATATTCCTCATGAGTATATTGAACTTAAAATGCCGGCAGGACACGACGAGCACGGCAATCCTGCCTTCCTCCTTGATCCGAATCATCTCCACATATGGCCTCGCCACTCCTTCATGCTCATCGCTCTGCCAAACAAAGTAATCACGCACGCAGCTTCTATGTGCTTCCCACCTAACGAGATTCAATTTCAGGATAAGACATTCACTTGCACCCTCTTCGCGCCTACTGTCGAGTTTGATCGCTTGATCACTCGCGAAGACATCCTGTTGTGGTTCCAGAATCATTTTCCCGATGCACTGTCGCTACTTGGCGAGGACAAATTGTTGAAAGATTTTGAGAAAAACCCCCGTAGCCCCCTGATTACTACGAAGGTACCTCCCTTTCGTTTCACACGAGCACCATTACAGAGCTAATTGTCGCCATTGGTGGGGAGTAGTTAACGCCTTATCATTACAAAGATCGGTGTGTAATTCTCGGTGACGCTGCCCACTCGATGGTACCCTTTTTCGGACAAGGGCTTAACTGTGGTCTCGAAGACGTTCGGGTGTTGCTCACGCTGCTGCAAGAAGAATGGGTTGTCCCTACTAGAGCTATGCCTAATTCGGGAGACCCTGAATCTGACTTCATAGACCAGAGGCTAGCCAAAGCATTGGCTCGTTATTCTGCAAGTAGGCACGAAGATGTCGTTGCCATATGCGAACTTGCAATGGACAATTAGTAAGTGAAGTCACTTGTGATACGTTGCTGGTTGTCATTGATTTCGCCGTGCATCAGCATTGAAATGCGCCACTCCGTAACAACGCCTGTCTACATCATTAAAAAAGCGCTCGACCACCTTTTGTTCTCATTGACCGCTCGTGGACCCACGGTTCTTTCGTCTCTGGGTGACTCATTGTCCCGCATCGCCTTCCCGACTGCCAATCCTCGCGGCTGGTTGCCTCTCTACACCATGGTTACATTCCGTCCCGATATCAGCTATGCTACCGCCAGGAGGAAAGCAGCTCGACAGGCCATCATTCTCACCACCATGGCAAGACTTGGAACCGTTGGCATGTGTGCCACGAGCTTCTACCTTACGTGGAGAGTCTTACGTTGGCTGCGAAGTCAAAGATAATGTCCTCACTGTTGTGAATAATCGAACCTCGTGCTACCATGGGTGAAATGCAAATATTGGGCCGAAGCTCTTATTTAAAATCTATAATTTT